TTATTCGTTATATGGGAAATCATGTAATTCGTCAAGTGATATCAATCGATATTTATTATGTACAAGTGATAATCTTTGGTCCTGTCGAGCCCAACTGGTGTATAATGGATCAGTTTGTCAAAGTGATGTTGTCTATAGTTACACTACAGTAAGCTATCAACAAGAATGTCTACAGAATCAAACAATGGTATGGAATGGAACAAGTTGTTCACCAGGTAAGACAAAAATAATGCGTTTTTATAAATACTTTATTAGTAGATGGTCATCTAGTTCAAACATCATATAGAAAAATTTTGGATAGTAACATGTACAACATAATAAATAGGGTGTGGGGTGTGGGAGTATATAAGCACGACCCACATCCACACCCTTGATTACTGATTTGTACAGTGAAAAATCGATCAACGTCTATAACTAGAAAATACAAATCGATCTACTACCAAGACAAACATGCCGAGTTTTCTCAATATTATGTTGTGTTTAATCATACTAAGGAAACCAGAGTGAAGCTTTCCGATGGATAGAGCTAGTGTAAACGTGATTGGTAACTTCAAGAAAACCGATATACTTAATTTCGAGTAATTCAGAGCGGAGTTGACGATAATATATCGCAGTTCATAGTCACTGTTGCATTGTATCAGGCATCTTGATTAAGCCTTTTTTGCTGCTCTTTACTTGATAAATTAGGTATCGAATAACAGACGTTATGCTTCTTACTTTCACAATTTAGGTATTCTTCAAGGAGATGCTGCTTCTCAAAACAAATACCTTTCTCTATTGTAACATACTTCCTTTTACTCTGATCGAATTTTAGAATGATGTTCACTTTTCTTTTTATCTTCTACTACAGAGCCGAATACGAAAGCTCTGGTTGAAACCATTCAATAGCATATGGAACTTGAAAGACACTTTTTTCGATTTAAACTATAGCTATCTATTGTTTTTCAACACTTCAATTGATCAGAACTTTCATACTTTATAATTTGGATTAGTATATGAAAGAATAAAAATATAAAGTTAGATCAATCTATAGCATACTGCGATCAATGTCGATGGCGAACTTTCTTCAGATCGTGTTCGTACTACCTGTCATCTCGGTTCTCAGTGCACGACAAGCTTAATATTGAGTTAGCGTGTTCATTTCATTATGCTGTCGAAATACTGTATCGAGTGCTATTAGGAATAAATAAATATTTCGTTTGTATATAATCTTTTGATAGTTGTCGTAACATCACTTAAATGGAACGCCACTGGTATAACTGTAGCTGGTGTAACTGGCGTTTCTGACAGCACTCCAGATAAACTCAATCAACCTACGGGTTTAAGTATTGATTCCAACGGTACACTCTACATTGCAGATCAAGGTAATTGTAGAGTTCAGAAGTGGCTCAGCGGTGCCCCCAATGGAACAACGATGGCGGGGCAACCCAACGCCACTTGTGGTAGTGGACCTTCGCTTTTACAGAGTGCTCTAGGTGGTCTCGTCGATTCCAATAGCAATGTTTATGTGGTAGATACTTATAATCACAGAGTTCAATTGTGGTCATATGGTGCGTCTTTTGGTACAATGGTGGCCGGAACAGGTAGGAAACTATTTTTGTTCATAGTTCAGTGTAACAAACGAGGTAAAAAAGTTTTATTGTCTGAATTTATTGTCCCAAATAATGATTTCATGTTTTTAAATAATGAACAACTTATATAACACATGAAGGTCTTCTATGCAATATACATACATAGTGTTTCTATTTCTGTCCACAGGTTTTGGCGGTTCCGCAAACAATCAACTATATTACCCTTCGGGTATAGAAATGAATCCAACTACTGGTACATTGTACGTATCGGATACTTGGAATCACCGGATTATGAGTTACCTTGCTAATACATCGTCGGGTACTGTAGTTGCTGGAGGAAATGGACCAGGCACAAATAGTACACAGTTATATTGTCCGATGGGTATATATTTGGATCTAACATCAAATAGTCTATACATTGCCAATTATTATTCTCATAATATTGTTTATTGGGTAATTGGCGCGACCAGTTGGACATTAGTTACAGGTGATATCAACGGCATGAGTGGTAATTCGCCAACAATGCTGTATTGTCCGTATGATGTTGAAGTCGATTACATGGGCAATATTTACGTGGCTGATAGCTATAATAATAGAATCCAGTTTTTTCAAGCTGGCTCAATGAATGGTACAACAATAGCAGGCGTTACTGGAGTTTCCGGTCCCGACGCTTATCACCTTTCTTACCCAGTTGCTCTAAAACTTGATTCTCAGCTTAATTTGTACGTAACGGATTGTTACAATTATAGAGTTCAAAAATTTTTACACTACTGAAAGACAATAATATTATTATCTATTCATGTACTCAAAAAAATTTGAATTTGTCTAATTCAAACTTTAAGGTATGATTTATTGATGAAATAAAAAATACGTTGCCTCTCGAATTCTATCATTGAACTTTACCAACGTTCTCATGAGTTCTAAAAATCCTCAGAGCGTACAATGCTCGGTGTGGGTGTGAGCAGAAGGCCAGTCACACTTCGTGTTCGTCCCGAGACCCACATTGGCACCCTCATATTTTTCTCAATCTCAATGTACGAATATTTAAATGGGATCCAGACAGTTGGTCGCCGGACAGTTGCACATGGACAGCTGGTCGTAGGACAATTGGTCGCACGGGCAGTTGGTCGTATAGTGTAAATAAGAGGAATATGAGTATAATAATCACACAACACTAATACAATGAGTTGATCTGGTGTGACAGAATAATCATCATGATTGACTAATTGATGTAATTAATTCAATATTGCTCAAATTGAGGATATTACTCTAATGATCATTTTCATTTAACGATAATCGTGTATACATTTACTTGCATATAAGTTGTTGAAAATTGAAAAAAGTCATTTTACGAAAGTAGTAATGCCTGTTACTCTAACAAAAATTTCTAAAAATACATTATTATTAATACACAACAATTACTCGTATACAATTGATCGAAAAACTGTAACAAAAATTCTTTGGTCTCTATGAATTTTTTTTTGGTTGCTGTCTTATTCACTATTGAAAACTTTGTTTTGCTTGTTACATTTTGTTGTCTTATTGTTCGGATTTCGCTGTAATGTTCTCTATTTAATTATTTATAAAATAATAAATAATGTTCAATTTTTTTTTGCACTATATATTCCTCTTATTTACGCTATGCGACCAACTGTCCTAAACCCATTTAAATATATTATCTTGAAATGTTAATGAAACACATTTATAGTGAATTGTATTATGATCACTGATGAACAGAAATAAATATTTATTTATAAGAATAAAATATAACGAGTACAAGATTCATGCATAATGCAAACATTTACAATATTACAGCAGATGAAGCGTGGTTATTTAATTTAGATATCGAAAAGCAAACAAAATTTAACGACAAATTAAAGAAAGTTTTTCGAATTGTTTTGACTCAATTTTAAATATTAATGTTTGAATACTTTAAGGATGTCCCATGTTGGTAACAGTGACTATCGAATGCGTTGCTTGTAACATTTGAAATCGTAGACGCATACGTCGAGAGAATATTCCAATCAAACCAGCAGTAAATGTCTTATGAAATAAACGAGATGTCAGCATTGAAAGATAAAATGATTAACCATTGATCAAACAAAAACAATAATTCGTAAGAGTATAAGCAAAACTAATAATTGCCGATTGTTCAACAGTTCTAATATAATCCGCAGTAAAGGCATAATACATATACATAATAACCGCATGTAATAATAAGAAACCTGTTACTAAAACTTGAGAAAATATCATTACAATGAATTGATTTTGCAAACGTGGTGCTTATGCAGCTGTAACTCTACCCTATAGTACATTAATCTTCTATAACACAAAAATAAATCAAAATACTTACCACACGTTGTTTACTGTGATTTACATTTTGATAAGCAAGTAACAGAAAAGTCAACACCAGTGATGGCTGCATCACACCACCCAATATGATATGCAAAATACTATTCAGTTGCGGTTGTGTAGAAATACACTGCGATCCATCCAGAAGATTATAGAGAATAGATGCATAAATCGATGCAAGGCAACTAGAAATAATTGTAATGCTGCTCATCCATGGCGCTATTTTAAGTTGGCTAAGTCGCTGTATAGGTGATGTAAGTTTACATGTACAAGCAAATCAATCGATGGTGGGCATGAGCAAAAAATGAATTGATAAATGAGGAAGAAATGCAAGGAGAAAAATACTAAGTTTGCATGTAGCACGTAAACTAGTCCATGGAGTACGAATTGCATACTTTTCAGAAAGATATCTTGGAAATAAACTCAGAGCAAGATTGATTATATCAATTGTGAAGCCACAGAGTGAATAAATACAAACAGTATTATAACAAAGTTCAGCATGAAGGTATGTGAAAAGATTTCCAGTGAATCCAATAAAACCAAAGATAAAAAAAATAAGTGGAGGATAAATAACATATCTATGTGTAACAAGATTAAGATCATTAACAATTGACTTCGATATTTGTGAAACATTGATAACATGTTCAGTGTTGTAAAACATCATCCTATTGATAGAGTACAACTGAAGATGTAGAGAAATTAATAAGAATGTTGAAGGGCGATGAAAGAGCACATAAAAAAACATTTTCTTTCGAGAAAATGCAAAAGATGAAGCCTATGGGGAGGAATAAGAAAGCCATCGTTTTCTTTTTATAGAAAATTTAAAATAGAATCAGATACTTTCCTACTTAAAATATAATTGTTTCTCAGCACTACTGCATTTTAATCATAGTCGGCACATTTATCGACGTAATTAAACTAAAGGCTGAAGTGAAAAACTAGAATATGTTTAAAATGGATAAGCGTCCAATACACTACGTTATCATGAAGCAACAATGATGATAGGAAAATTCTTCTTCAAATAAGTTACTTTTGATGTGCACTTTAAAAGCATGGCATAAGGAATACTACAGTTGAGGAAGAAGACATTATTACATCACTATTCTTTTATTAATTTGAGAACGATATACTTAATTATTTACCCTCACTGAGAAACTGCTGTATTTATTGCAATAATTTCATCGTGTGTTCATTATGATTGACCTCACAATATTTTTCTCCGCTACAATCAGATAAAACAGATTAAACTAGCTGAAGGAATTAGAAATTAAAGACAGAAAAATGGTTCGCTTTTTTATGTCACTGATTCAATTTATCAATGGCATGTCTGTTGAATTACGGTCAAGTTAGTTTTTCTTAAAATCAATTAATCGATTATATAGCAATGATAGAATACAAAAAAAAACAGAGACAGAAGGAATACTTGTCATAAAATTCAAGTATTTTAATTATAACTCTAATTCAATTCGAGATGAGTCCCTAACTCAATAGGATTAATTTATCCATATTATGGAAGCTTAAAAAACAATTTCACGCACCTTTCTTGTATGGACTTTGTTCAATAGAACATTATGTTGAAATACTGCAATCTCTAGAACTTTGTAATTTTGATCATTATTTAGAATTTCTCTGCTGTCTGTCAACCGGGTCGTCTCAATGATATTTTTAGAGTATGTACACTTTGAATTAGATGTAGTGTTCATTAGTTTTGATTAATTCAACTATGAAATGAAATTTTAATTAGAAAAAAGCTAGTAGGATTCGAAAGATCATATTTGCTCTTTGAAACAAAACGTTGCAGTCCCACTGCAGGATACTATTCAACTTCTTCCTTGTCTTTTCCTTCAAAAAGTAATTTAATTCATATTTTCCAGGTCTTTTTCTGTTGTTATTGTATCATATAGTTTGAAAGCACATGTAAAGTTGGGTGTGAGTGAGGGTGCGTATGAATGCTGGAAGATCAACACTCACACTCAGCTACTTTTTTCTCATCAAAAATGTTTTTTTCTATTGCGTTAAAATGTGCGCTTTTCACTTGTAAAAGCGCCATTTTTTCTTTTCTTGTTGGACTGGATATCTGATGTTAACAAACCTCATTCATTTTTTTCTTCAGTTCTAAAATAAATTCTCACATGGTCAACTTAGTTGGCAAAAGTTCTTGTGTTAAGTGTAAAAACCAAAAAACACTGTGAAATGTGGTGGATGTTCGCAAAATTTCTCTCTGAATCGCATTAATGAGCATCATAATGAGCTGAGCGAATAGTTAGGTACAATTGAAGATGATTGTAATGGGTTTAAAATTGAAGTCGAAGGATAAAAGTTCGCGCCAGAGGAACATGAATTACTGACACAAATCTATGACGGGGAACGGGAATCAATCGAAATGATTCGACAAGTGGCAACTGATACTCGGCGGGAACTCTCATCATGCGCCATCACATTTGTCACTAATATCGATCTTAAATTGAAAGAATTGACAGAGCAACTTGTTCAATGTTGTAAAGAGGAAGCTTTCATCGACATAGACATTCACTTTTTTTAATCAAGCGCTTAACTAGGGTGTGGGTGTGGGTGTGAAAATCACTATTTCTCTGAAGGATACATCCACATCCCACACCCTCTACAAAGACACTTTGTGGAAATGAAGCTCGGGAGAGTTCACTACACTACCTCTCGAAGGGCGCCACAGCTGAAGGCTTTAAGGTACAGGTTATGTTCGCACACCTGCTCCTGTTGAGTCTAGCGTATTGGAAAATCCGCGGTTTGAAGCTTTTTTTGGATATAACGGTAGTCAGACTATATATGCTTTTCAAAAATATCGCCTGATATCGCAGCGTTTTAAAACGCGGTTTACAACGGTTTTCAGAACCGCGGTTCACGGCGGTGTCAGGGATACGCATAGATGGTCTGACTCCAGCAGTTTTAACAACCGGTGATTACCGTGGTTTTCAGAACTGGTCATTACTGAGGCTTTTCGAAAAAACGTTTTGCGTGAGTATTCAAAGGATTGCGATATAAATAGTAACTCAATCAAGTTCGACATAAAAAAAGACAAGAAAATGTTATTTTAATCACATCAGTGAGTAGAGCATTATTGAATTAATTAAAATAAATTTCAGGATCGTCTCACACTATTTGAAAAGGAGGAGTTGTTTTGATTGGATCATTTCGTCAAGGAAGAACAGGCGAGTTTAAGGTAAAATCTTATGATTCTCAAAATAGATTTCCATTTTTAACGATAATGATATTGAATGAGTAATTGACTTTGGTAGTTATCAAAAGTGGAAAAGATTGAGCGAAATCCTAGATAGTAGGGGTGCCACCGGAAAAAAATTGTAGGAGGCGAAGTCGTTGGTCAAACCTATCGTGGGTGGGGAGTTAAACTTATTTTTTCCAAGGATTTTATTTTTTCTAGGGGGAGCTAAGACCTCAAAACCTTTGAACTCTATAGTATTCTAAGCTGAATTTGATCAATAAAAATTCTGTAACTCTAGATAACAATAATTTTAGCTTCATAAATAAATCAAATGTGGACAAAAATTGAAGAAAAGTTGTTAATAAACTTGTTCTTATATAATAACTTAATTCAAGTTTTGTTTTTAATACCATGCATGCAGTATTGCTGGAAATTTTGAATATGAAGAAAATCAAAAGTTTAAAAATTTTTCGAGAATCATCATATTAGCTAGTTTCCCTACACTGATTCTAGTCAAAAATCAATAAATGTTATGGAAATAGATGGTATTGGAATCTGTGTATTTCTTAATATTAAATCGAAAGTGTCTTATTGTCACTATTATCTTCGTTTCTATTGTTTATCATTGTAGATATGCATCGGCATTCTTATGTATGTCTTTTTATTAAATGAATAAGCAACGGAAAAGCATAAGTTCGTACGAATAATCATAAAATAGGCATACATTTTTTTCTTTAAAATTAAAATAGATATGCGAAAAGCATGAGATGCAACAAAAAAATGTTTATTATGATAAGTCAATGTGAAGAAATATATCATAGAAAGCTTATTGAAAGATAATTGATAATATTAAGCATAAAAATATTTGTAAAATGTGAAGATTTTGAAATGCGTTCATACGGAGAGAACCATTGTATGGACTAGCAGGGCCACTTCCAAATGGTAGAGTAATATTCAAGAGTTTTGACGAGACTTGTTGTACTGCGGCTGTCTCTCCAACAAAATCAATTGTTGTAGGCAAACTTTGAAGGCATTTTGGATCACCGTATGCTGCAGAAACTATGTTAGGAAACAAATAATACAGAGCTATGGCTGCAGGGCATGGATAACCGACCAACATAATACTGGATGTGACATGTCCTGTCAGTGGTACTGCATAAAAAATGCGTGTCGCTCTTGTGATTGATGCTATATGTGATGCTTGCTGGAATACTGTTGACGGATCCAATTCACCAGAAAGCATTAAAACTGGTGCCTGTGCGGCAAAGTTACCGTAATACTGATCCAATGGATATTTGGGCCATTGAGCACGTAGTGTGAAGAAATTCGAAGGACGTGTAAGTGTCATTATAGTAGAATCACGCCAATCATTGTACGTAGTTTCGTCGATTTCACTTTCGTTCATAGCTAGCCATGTTTCCGACTGAACAATGTTATAACTGAGCACACTTGAAAAAAGTATGGCAGGCATAGCAGTTGTAGTAAGTGTTGCAGTGTTTTGGAAGAAGAATTTCAAAACAGTAATATCATCTGCATTGCATCGATTCAAACGATATATAACTGCAGGCACGATAGTGCGAGCAAAGTATTGTCCGGCATCGGTGATCAAAGTAAGAAACATGTTACGAAGTATATAGGATGTTAATTGATAATTAGCAAAATTTTCTTTGATACATTTTTGTTGATTTAAATCTACCTGCTTCAGTATCGTTTTTAATACATCTACAGGCGATTTTTCGGCAGAAAAATATTGATTACATTTAATTTGTAATCGACAGTAGCTCAGGAATTGTACCGTGGCTGCATCTGTTAACAAAGGAGCACGACTATCCGAACTTGTAAGCGGATCGAATACTCCATCCATAACGGATGCTTGAACTACTGTAGGATATATTTGCAGAAAACGGTCAGCCCATAATGTTCCGTACGATACAGCAAAAAGACCGACTCGTCCAGGATTGGTAGCTTGATAGGATTGAATTTGTACTGATACATCGTGCGCAGCATTAGTGATAGAAAATTGATTCAATCCATTTGTACCCCATTTTGAAACTAAATAAGTAATACATGCAGCACTTATATCTTGTGATCCATAATCATCACAGCTCAATACACTCGAGAGTCCAGTACCACGATGATCGGGTAGTATTACAGTGATACCAGGAATGGTTTGTAGTATGATCGACGCAATACTAAACAAATTCCAGCCTGATCCACCTGGTCCACCACTAAGCATAACAACAGTATTTTGACTTTGATTCGTTTGATTTGGACTAAGACGAGACATAGAAATAGGTATTGTTTGATTGGGTTGAGCGTAATTTAGTGGTAACTGTAAAGTACAACAATCCAATATATATGCGGGATTGCCAATTGAAAAACCAGTAACATTGCATGTTGTCCAAAGGCATGGGTGTGAGAGAGCATAGGCAGTTGCATTAAACGTTGTTTGACTGTACACACGCTGAGAAATGAAGCCAATTAGTAATATGATTGTGAATATTTGATTCATGATTTATTCTTCAGGAGAAATGTTCCATTGTATTCACAAGTAGTTATTGCTTGTTGAGACAGTGTTTTAAATCCTTATCTATGCTTGTTTATTCAGAGAGTAATGCACGCAATTGATAAAAATTTCAAAAAAGTAAATCAAGAATAGTCCACGCAAATCGATTAGATCAATTTCTAAGTATAGAAATGCATAATAAATAATTACTTATAAATGAGATGACAGCTAGTATCAGTATTCTACATCTGCACATTCGCTATAATCTCTAATAGTTATTTTCGTCACTAACAACAAAACGATAGTTCGAGTTTTGCACTAGAATTTCGATAAGTCATGATCAGATAAAAAAAAAATTGTGTATCGTCCAAAAATGAGTCATTAACAACAAGATTGACGAATAATTTTAGATTTTTGATTCAGACGATAATTTCACTGATGACTGTTGTTAGCATTAGACTTTTAATGATGGACGGGAGGGCCTTACTTGTATTCGAAATAGTAGTAGCAACCGTTGAAGCACTAAATATCAAATTTTGTCCAGGTAAGACAGAGTCTGCTAGAAACTAAATGTCACTGTTCGCTTTGGAGCAAGAAATTAAGGTGAATAATTTATGCTTGTTTTGTTTTCTACATGGAGTGCGTGCTTTTTTCATCGTTATTACATAGCTCCTGTATATACAGATTACACACATGAATGTCTTTTCGTTTAGTTTTTTTCCTCGTCAGAACTCAACTTAAAATTAGATAATCGTTACAAATGCATATAAGATGTGATTTTCTTTTTGACAGGCTGTTATGTTTACATCCTTCCTATGCATTCATTTAAGCGAATAAGCTTGAAGAAAAAGAATTCAAATTGAACATAGTCGACTAGCAACACAGTAACTAGTATGCACGAAAAAGATAAATTATAATTTAAACTAATATCACTTTTTTCTGTTCATATCATCGACACAGCCATTGGTGACAGTCAATTATTTGAATATAAATAGAATATACAAATAAAATCAAACAAATAAAATTTTACGTCTACCCAAAATAATTTGCTTTGAGAAGTATAAGGTCAAGTATATGAGGGATATAAAAATTTCTGTTATTACTACTAATAATGTCACCTATTGAAGTTCAAAAAGTAGAAAATGACAGAAATTTTCTCATAGAAAAGGAGCGGAAAAGCAGAAAGTGTTTTGTTTTTGTGATTTAATATTATTTTTACACTTTGCTCTAGTGTGATAATAATAGTAACTTTCAAAACCAATTTCACTCGTTGTTTTACTAGAATACAAGATTATTGAAAACATATTTTTCATCCGAGTTAATAGTTTTTAATAAATCCTGATGAACGAATAAATATTTATGTATTTCGGCGTATGAAAAGGAAGAAGTCAAACATATTTAATGCTGTGCTTCGCACCGCATTCATGTATAGTCCGGCGCGAGTTTTTTTTCCTTTCTTTCTAACTTGAGCACGCATAAAAAAATCAGATTAAGTAGCACGATGATCTAGAGGCCCGTAAATGATAGAAAATCCATTCGAACTAGATATGAGAGTGTAAAGATCGAGCTTGTTACATTTTTTTTCCAATTTTCAGTACTAACTTTCGTTCGCCTAAAAAAATCATTCAAAAATGACGATTTTGTAAAGTTTTAATCATTCGAGTTTCGAGATAATTAAAATGATGTCATCAAGTAATAGTAGCCAATAGTCTATTTCTTCACATCTGATCTAAGATAGTGAATCATTGAAATAATTTAATGTTCAATCAAAAGCATTCTCTACACTGAAAAAAAAAAGTACTCTACGAAACTTAAAAAGGTTCCGAGATTTGCAACGAATTCGAAACCCTTTTGCGATGTCGTACGGAACCTTCAAAGTTCCGTATAGACTCACGAAACATGTCTCGGAGTCTGC